TGTAAAAAGCGGAGGGGGGGGGGGGTTAAAAGGTGCACAGGCTGGTATGAAGGTTAGTGATTGAGGTTAGCAACTATGACAGGCCTATTAGCTCTAACATCTCCACCTGCTGACACATCACTGCCTAGCAGCAATGAGCAAATTAGATTTAACATCACATCCAGCCGTCACACATCTCCTGTCCCCCTCAACCCAAACCAGAATCGCAAAAAGCACAGGGCGACGGGCTGTTTCTTTCTCTCGTGTGCAATAAAAGCTGATTAGAGTTGAAACAGTTGACCGGTCCTACCCTCCTTCACAGCTGCTGGATTAGAGGCTGAGCCCATCATCTGTGAAATGAAATTTCAGATGGTCCAACAGGGACAGTCTGGGGTGCAGACTGTATGCATGCAAGTGTTAGAGGGTAGAAAGGGGCACAAAACACAATATGCAAGGTCACACATCACAGCTAAAAGGTTAATGTGAAGAGGATGATAACATTTATCAGTCATGTGGTAACAGGACACACTCTTCATTGAAAGGTATGAAGCCCAGTCGTTAGTAGCTATAGACATGGGTTCGAATCAATCGTGTCTCACAAAATATCACACAAATATGAAGATTCATCAGTTTGCTGAGTTTAGAGCATCAGGCAATGGAGACAGAAGTATATTTACATTTAGAAAAAAAAATAATAAATCTGAAAAAGACAGAAAAATCACCGTCCCCCAAATAAAAATAGCTTGAAAATTGGTTTAGAAATGATTTGAACTTCTTCATTTTTTTATAAGGCTATGCTAAACTCCATAGCGGAGCAAAAATACCTCTTGCAAATGTTTTATTTCCTTCCATTGTTTTTCTCTCTGCGAAGGCAAGAACCTCAAAGGTCACTTCATTTTTTACATAATAAAGATATATTCAAAGCACTTGTTGTTTTTAATAATGACGATATGCTTAATATTATCCACGTTGAAAACAGCTATGCTGTTTAATATTTTTTTTTAGAAACTGTGATATATTTTTTCAGAATTCTTTGATGAATAGAAAGTCCAAAAACAGCATTTATTTTAACTAGAAATATCAAAAACACTATATATAAAACATTATAAATGTCTTTGCTGTCACTTTTGATAAATTTAATGTATCCTTGCTGAATAAAAGTATTAATTTCTTTTAGAGATAAAAACATACTTCTTTTGAATGGTAGTGTATATATGTAGGAATTGGTTGATTGGCACACTGAAAGCACTTACCCTGGATTGGCAGAGTGACCCTGACCATAAGGCAACCCTGGTGTGCTTGGCATGTAAGAAGCTGGAAAAACATTGAATTGTATGATTACTGCTAATGCCCAAATTCACAATGCTCTTACAAATGTTACATAAATCTTAAAGGGGTCATATGATGCTGCTAAAAAGAACATTATTTTCTGTATTTAGTGTAATGAAATGTGTTTATGAGGTTTAAAGTTAAAAAAACACATTATTTTCCACATACTGTACATTATTGTTTCTCCTCTATGCCCCGCCTTTCTGAAACGCGTCGATTTTTACAAAGCTCATTGGTCTGAAAAGCGAGGTGTGCTGTGATTGGCCAGCTATCCAGTGGTTACACTTTATTTCGATAGTCCACTGTAGACATTCTACTAACTATAAGTAACTTTGTAACTACATGTCAATCGTCCTCTTTTGGAAGACCAAACAAAGTAGTTTCGCTTTCACAACGAAGCACACAGCGTCTTCACGACATGGTGGCAACAATACTACAGCGAGAATAAAAGTTACGCCTTCTTTCTTTGCGTGAACATTTGGGCGGCGTTATGCAAATCTTCCCACATAGTGATGTAGACATGTGGGGGCGTGTTAGAACGAGCCGTTTTAGGTAGGCGTGGTTAACTCTTAACTTTTATAAAGAATATCTCTTTGGATTTGAGACTTTAGTTTTTGCAACTTTACAGATCTTCTTTATGCACCAAGAGCTTGTAACACTCCAAAGAGAAAGGAAAAATTGAAATCGCATCATATGACCCCTTTAAAATACGTTTTCTTTTAGATCAGACATAAGTCAAACATAAGTCTACACTCACTGTTAGGTGGGCCTGCTGTTGGGAATGCTGGGTAAGTTGCCTGAGTGGTGGGTCGTGAGAAAACAGGTGGTTCTTCTCTAAACACTACAATCATCACCTGGATCAGTCCTAACAATTCAGACTGGGGCTAAAATAGACAAAAACAAACAAAAAGTAGGTTTATGTCCTCCTAAATTAAACATACAAAGATAAAAAGGAAAAAAGACACTCACAGGTTTCCATTCATGCAGGTATGGGAGGTAAATCTTTCCATTGGCATCAACGTGTTTCCCTGTTTTTATCATCATGGCACTTGTGGGTTTGACAAAACAGATGGGAGGGTTGTAGGGATATGTGTCTAGAAGCCACAGGCAGATGGGAATGTTGTACAAATTTCCTATAGAAGAGGAATATATTAAATAGGGAAAAGGGTCCAACATAAAGAAATGACTCATCTGGATACAGCTGGATTGCTAAATAGGTCTGAGGAGTGGAGAATCTCAAACGCTTCTTGAAAGCAGTGCTCTCTGTACCTCGGTAGCTTACTGGCACCGTTCCTGCAAGACTCAACAGCTCTTTGGTGGAGCCATCATTGAACACTGAAATAAAGAAAACAAAATGAGTGCAGGGCAACACATAATGCATACCTGTATATTTACTATAGAAATGGAACTGGTGTCATTCAGAAAAATCAGAGGATTAGACAAAACATTTATACAGCTTGCAGAAGAATTTATTCATAACACAAAAAATACTTAAAGTATCATCAAAGTATAATCATGTGGATTATTGTGATGCTTTTATCAGCTGTTTGGACTAGTGGTCGACCGATATATCGGCCGATATTTGGCATTTTTCAAATATCGGCATCGGCCGATAAGTTTTTCTGTTTGGCCGATGCGTTCGAGGTTCGATGCGTACTTTTATTTTGACAGCGCTGAGATCACATTATCCTTCTTGTTCGCCGTCGTCATTAACAGTTCTGTAATACGGATAGAAGTCTGTCTAATATCCGATAGAACTGTTAAACAAAGTAATTAAAATGTATACAAAAAGTATTATAACGATTGCTTTTATATTATTAGTAATAGAAACATTATAATACTTTCTCGTTTGCCGTCAGCATTCAGCAAATAAGCATGTACATCATTTAAACAAATCTTTGAATGGCTAATGAAGATTTAATTTCACAAACCTTGCAAACTTAGTCGAATCCAGTTGTGAGATCTTGTGAAGTGTGCATGTGTTCTCTGCGTGACTTTCGGTTAGGGCTGCACGATAAATCGCATGCGATATTTAACGCGCATCTTATCAGTAAAGCCGGTTCTGTAATCAGCGGTAAATCTCCATGTGCGTGCTTTCACATTGAGCAGCATTAACTACACAGAGCCGTTGTTCACGGACGAGCTACGCAAAACCACGTTCATATTCGCACGATTTTTTGCGCAGCTCGTCAGCTCGAAATATCGCATGCGATTTATCGTGCAGCCCTACTTTCGGTCCATGCAAATTGAATGCTTTAAACATTAAACTCGTGATTTCAAATTATGCTGCGCTTTATGCATTTGCCCACTGTCATATTCATGTAATTTTCACTGTGTGCTGTATGTAAAATGAGTGTTACCTTGGCTTTATTTGATAAAATATGATTCCCAATGCACACAATCTTCCCAGAATACTGAGTGCTCTGTTGGTTACAGTTTACTTCCTTTTTAATTATATATTTATTAAATATTTATTTGTGGAAAATACTTTATCATCTAAAGTATGTTTATTTTACAAATTTAAAAAAATGTTTTATCCATTTTCAAATTATTTCAAATTTCTTAAATATTAATTAAAATACAATTATATCGTCTTTATATTGGCCACCCTGCTTTACAAGAGATCGGTATCGACTGTAAAAAAAAAAAAAAAACAATATCGGTTGACCACTAGTTTGGACTCTCATTCTGACAGCACCCATTCACTGCAGGGCATCCCCTGCTGAGCAAATGATGTAATGCAAACCTACTCATCTACATCTTGGATGGCCTGAGAGTGAATACATTTTAAGTCATTTTTTTATCTTTGGGTGAACTATGCCGTTAAGTGAAGCATGCATGTTTAAAATAAAATAAATAAATAAAATAAAATAGCATTTAGTCATTTAGCAGACACTTTTATCCAAAGCGACTCACAAATGAGGAAAATAGAAGCTATAAAAAGAGCAATAATATGTAAGTGCTAGTCTAATGCAGCACAGCCAGGTAGCAAGTTTTTGATATTCCAGGGTCTTTGCTTGGCTTCACAATTTTCTTTTTCTCCAGCATATCTATAAACCAGCCATAAGAAGGTGTAATATTCACAATACTTCAAAGCAATGCAATATAGACTGTGTTCCAAATTATTATGCAAGTGACATATCAATAGGATTCCGGTACAATAAAGAGTCAGATAAATAAATAACTGGTATCAATCTCAGACAGGTTTGTTCAATAGTTTGCCAGGTCTTCTTAGGTAAATGGAAACCCTACTTAAAGAGGTTGTTCCTCATTATTAAGCAAGTCACAGTTCTCATGCAATATGGTGAGGAAGAAAGATCTTTCTGAAGATGAAAAGTATGAAACAATGCAATGTCTTGCAAAAGGCATCAAAACAAATAATATTTTGCGAAAAGCAAATAGAGATTATTGAACTGTCAAAAGATTTGTGAGTGACTTAGAGCACATACGATCTTGGTCAGATAAAGATTTATTAAGGATAGTTTTTGTCAAACAAATTAACTGTATTGTAATGGCAGCTGTAAAAAAGCCACTGCTGAGCAGCAAACAGGTGTTTGAAGCTACCGGAGTCTCAAGATCCTCTCCATGCAGACTGGCAGTTGTGTGTAAAGCTGCATTTCAGTCACTGCTAACCAAACCTCACAAAGAGAAACCTGCACAGTGGCATTGTTTCATACTTTTCATCTTCAGAAAGATCTTTCTTCCTCACCATATTGCATGAGAACTGTGACTTGCTTAATAATACGGAACACACTCTTTAAGTAGGGTTTCCATTTACCTAAGAAGACCTGGCAAACTATTGAACAAACCTGTCTGAGCTTGATACCAGTTACCTGAAATGATGTGAAAATCAAAACAAACTAAAATCTGACTGTTTATTGTACCGAAATCCTATTGATATGTCCCTTGCATAATAATTTGGAACACAGTCTATATTTATATATATTTTTGTAAGGAAATATTAAATACTATTCCCTCTTTGAAGTTTTATAAATGTCTTTAATACATAATTGTATGGTAAAAATCATTGATCGTTTGCTTTGAAAGGTGGGGTTCTCTTTGACAGTACCCCTACAGATTCTTTAAACATATGTGACGAATATGTGAATATGAATATGTGACGTGACGTGACATGTGGCCAAGTATGGTGACCCATACTCGGAATTAGTGCTCTGCATTTACCCATCCAAAGTGCACACACACAGCAGTGAACACACACAAACCGTGAACACACACCTGGAGCAGTGGGCAGCCATTTATGCTGCGGCGCCCGGGGAGCAATTGGGGGTTCGGTGCCTTGCTCAAGGGCACCTCAGTCGTGGTATTGAAGGTGGGAGAGAGTGTTGTATATTCACTCCCCCACCTACAATCCCTGCCAGTACGCGACTACCTTTGGGTTATGAGTCCGACTCTCTAACCATTAGGCCACGACTTCCCCCAAACATCAAGGTTCAGTGAGACTTACAGTATTTCCTTTCTAAAGCATCTGACACATTACAGCCACAACTTTAGGAAATATGCTGTATTTAATAATTCATGACTAATAGCTCAAATAACTCATCGAATTTTGCACTGAAATAAAAATATTTTTAACGTGGCATGCAAAAAAATACACTGACTAAACGTGTGTCTTTTTTTTGTTTGTTTATTTGTCTGTTTTTGCATTTAAAACAAGCTCATCTTTTCTTATGTGCATCTCTAACACACGACATATATCTGATGGGCCCGGTCTAGATAAAGCTATATGAAAATATGCTAAATAAACACATTACATCTCTCTTCCCTACTGTACATTCAAACATCAGAATGGCTCAACAATGTAGTTACACTGTGGCACCAAATACTTTTGCTTTTATGTTTAGCAATATAGTTATATTTAAAAACGTAAACAAAAGTGTATATTCGTTTATATACAACAGAATAGATCTGTATTGGTTTGATCCTTATTGAAAATAAATGCCACTTTCTTTCAAATAAAACTAACGCAATGACAAACATTTGTAAGTGTGGTTGGTTGAAGTTTGTTTGTTGAAGTCTTACCGTAGCTGTCCATCACAGGTTTAAGATCTTTATAGAGAGACGCCACGCTTGTTATGTCGCGTGCTGTCAGATCCCTGTATTTATAAATCTGTGTACAAAGAAAAAACATTACCCATATTACGACAAATAACTTACACTTTGTAAACAACTTCTCTGGTATGCAAGTGTTTACATACCTTCGACAGCGTTTTCCGTAGGGAGCTTTCGTTAATTGCCGTCATGCTTAAAATGACTATGAACTAATGTACTACTTAAAACGACTGTACAGCGTTTATTATTTAAATCGTGTAGTTGTTGTTGTTATGGACATAAACTAAAGATCAAATCATCGCATCCATAACTAACAAGGAAATCACGACTGAAAGGCATTAAGTCACTTCCGGTCAGATGACTGATGACGCAGAACTGACGTGTACGTGCTTTACTACAGTACTGCTAAAATATTTTAAAAAACAACATACCAAATAAATACATTAGAAATGTAGTAAATTATGTTACATATCCTCCAGCTACATTTTTTTGGTCATCAATATTTGGAGACTTCAATTGGCGTCAGGCTTGGAGAATGGTTAATAACAAAGTAAAGGAAGTTTCGTATAAAATATTGCATTGAATGTATCCGGTGAAACATATTGGAACGTTTTCAATTGAATATCGTTACTCCTGTGAATTTTGTAGTAATGAAAAAGAAACAATTTTTCATTTAGTTTTTCATTGCAGCTATACAAAGATATTTAGGGTTGATGTTGAGAATTTCATTACTAGAAAACTTAATACAGCTGTTAAACTGGGTGGGTCTGATATAATGATATATGTTGATGATTATGGGATAGAAAAGGATAAAGCGTATATTATTCAATTACTGGTTGTAATGGGGAAGTTTCATACACACAAAATGAAGTGGACGGGTGGTAAACCAAATTATTTTAATTTTATCAACGAATTTAAACAATACTGTAATATGGTATATAAATGTAAAACAAAAAAAGCTCTCAGGACTTCTAACATTATCTGCACATTTTAAATAGACCAGTAAACTGTACCGTCTTCATTATTTTAGTTGTTTTATTTATTTAGTTAGTTTTCTTTCTTCCTCTGGCTAATTTTTTATTGTACTTGTAATCGTGTGTACTGATGGCATTTATATGCAAAGTTGTATTTCTCTTACTGTTATATATGTTCATATGCAATTAAAAAAAAATATATACAGTACTGCTAAAAATAATATTTGTAAACTTTATAAATTCACCTTTAGGATATAGTAACTAAGTAATATGTGACTTTTTAATATGCAAATGTAAAAAGGATGCTCAGGAAAGCCTCTTTATTTAATATTCTTTCTTAAAACAATAATAACGGTATAGGCACAAATCTTTAATAGCACATTGTTAAAAGGAAATTCATTCTTGTCTTCACACACAATAGACACAAAATAAAACTACTCATATTTTTAAGTAGCCTATTAATTGCTGCAAAAACCAATATATTTAATAGCAGAACCGACACAGCCTTTTGGAATTTTCTTTTATGGCGACGCTACCATAATGCTGTGTTCTACCTTTTTTTTCCATAAAAAAGAAAACATAAAAATGATTTAACGTTAGCAGCAGCAGTTGGCGTACGAGACGTTCAAAACAGAATACAGAGGATAGGTCACGTGTTTGTGGGTTATTTTACATGATGTTAATTCGAGCGTTACGGGAAATGGCCATTAACAACATTATTAAAGTAAAATAATATTCAGTAAGTGGCAGCAATCATCACGCCACCCGATAAACCCACATTATCCTGTGGCACCACAGACAGTAAATCCATCAAAAAGATCTGGATGCCCACAGCATTCTGACAGAAACCCTTGAAGGTCATATCCATAGCTACTGAGATGTGATTTAAAGGGAGAATCATATCCGCCCATCTATGTCCTTGAGAACAATCAATAGACGGTCAGGGAATAAAATACAGCGCAATCCTTTAGAGAAAAATCATCAGATTCAACCAGAAAGAGAAGACACTCACTGCTAGGAGTTCATCAGATTCACATAACGAACTATAAAGATCTTTGTTGAGATTTAAAATCTGTACTTTGCAAAGAGACATGAGCTACGTTTAAGCAATCAAGAAAGAGAAAGTCCAGACTGTTGCTCTTCCCGGCAATTACAAGGCCATATGTTGCCTATGAATAAATATAGTGCACATCAATTAAGGTTCCCTATGATAATTTACAGTAAGGGTATACAAACAATCTGGTTTGTTTTTTTTTCATTTAAATTTGTCACATTTAAACCTACATCAATCTTTACTCCCTAATGACACAATCATGGAAAATGTACTTCAGAATGGCATAAAGGGGAAATGCAGTTGACAATATGATATACATGTAAAGGTTTCAAGCTTATAACCTGAACATGGATGCAGCACAGTGCTTGGCAAGAATATCAACAAGGTTTTTCAGTCCAAGCTTTTAAGTTTATAGTAACTTTGCATTCATTTTCTAACAACTATGATTATTATTTGAAGAGATGTTCATTAATCTGTCGTCTTTAGCCAATGCAATTATCTGCGATGCATTTGTTTAATATTGTAAATAAAATGCATCACATCTGAATATCAAGCCACAATTCATAGACCCTGAGGGCCATTCAAAACCAGAAGCAAACAAAGAATAAAGTCCTCCACTTCTAAATTTTGTCCTAAACCTTGTGCAAATCAAAGACTTATCAGAGGTGTACCAAATAATCGCAATCTATTGCACCATAACCTGTGATAAACACACTGCATATGACTAAAAGTCCTCTTTGCAAGAGAACGCCATGAATTATGTACATTTTATTAGGTTAGACTTGCTCTAAGCAAATGACAATACAAATCTTTCTCACAACCAGACATATGCTAATATAACTGATGTAGTATTTCTCCTCTCCATCTCGTAAAGTGTTTTTCTAACATCCACATCTGACAAAGCAATATGAGAGGTTCTTTTCTGAGCTATTACTTCCAGTTAAGTGTAGATAGTTTGTTTAATGTAAATATATTTAAGTGTGACAGCGTCATCCAGTCATAGCAACTCCAGTGTTGAAATGAGGTACAACTTATTTCATCTCCAGTGAAGGAGCGAGACGGGAACATCCCTAAGAAGACTGCAGGGCTGCCAGATTAAAGATTTCCCTTTTACACAGTCTGCTCTAAACGTCCAGCATCTGTGTAGGTGTTGCAGTGTTTGTGGTCTGGAAGGCTGCACCGCTCTAAAAGCCACGTCATGCATATTCACTGCAAAGAGAAGGGGAGAACTGAGTACATGAATATCAAGCCACAATTCATAGACCCTGAGGGCCATTCAAAACCAGAAGCAAACAAAGAATAAAGTCCTCCACTTCTAAATTTTGTCCTAAACCTTGTGCAAATCAAAGACTTATCAGAGGTGTACCAAATAATCGCAATCTATTGCACCATAACCTGTGATAAACACACTGCATATGACTAAAAGTCCTCTTTGCAAGAGAACGCCATGAATTATGTACATTTTATTAGGTTAGACTTGCTCTAAGCAAATGACAATACAAATCTTTCTCACAACCAGACATATGCTAATATAACTGATGTAGTATTTCTCCTCTCCATCTCGTAAAGTGTTTTTCTAACATCCACATCTGACAAAGCAATATGAGAGGTTCTTTTCTGAGCTATTACTTCCAGTTAAGAGTAGATAGTTTGTTTAATGTAAATATATTTAAGTGTGACAGCGTCATCCAGTCATAGCAACTCCAGTGTTGAGACCGTTAAAATGAGGTACAACTTATTTCATCTCCAGTGAAGGAGCGAGACGGGAACATCCCTAAGAAGACTGCAGGGCTGCCAGATTAAAGATTTCCCTTTTACACAGTCTGCTCTAAACGTCCAGCATCTGTGTAGGTGTTGCAGTGTTTGTGGTCTGGAAGGCTGCACCGCTCTAAAAGCCACGTCATGCATATTCACTGCAAAGAGAAGGGGAGAACTGAGTACACGTGAGCAGCGGTAGCCTACACAATGGCTTAATTATCCAGGAGTACTTGTATGTTTAATTTATTGAGAATCATATGAATATATACTAGAATACTTGTATGTTTAATTTATTGAGAATCATATGAATATATACTAGGTTTCATGGTTTAGCAGCTTACAGAATAAAAATGTTTACCAGGATCATGACACCACACAGCGGCAGTTCATACAGCCTTGACCATTGTCATCTGGCGGGTTAAGTTTCCTCAGCTTATGCTGCCTGATTTCACGGACAAGAGTGTAAAAGGCATCTTCCACTCCCTAAAAAGAAACACACACACACACACACACACTAATTAGGGCTTTTCTTCTTACATGGTGATAGTTTATCCTGAGCTACACATGCAGCCACACTCTTATAAATAAAAGCCCCAAAATGTTTTTTTTTGTAGTGATGCAATACAAGAACCCTTTCTGGGTTTCCCAAAGAACCTTTCAGCAAACAGTTCTTAAAATAACCATTCTGTCTTAGCATGAAGCACATTTTAGTACTCTAAATAACCTTTTTCCACTATGAAGAACCTTTGTGCAATGGAAAGGTTTCATGGATGTTAAAAATGTTCTTCACGGAACCACAGATGCCAATAAAGAACCTTTATTTTTAAATTACGGCAGCTTGACACTTGACAGAATTTTATAATAAAATGTTATGTAACATTTTGTTTGGTCAAAATGTTTCTAACCTGTCTTGTCTTGGCTGAGGTTTCGATGTAGGGAATACCGTAGCTGCGGGCGAGTTCCTGGGCTTGTCTTGTGTCCACAGTGCGTGCTGGTAAGTCACATTTATTACCCACAAGCACCATGGGCACATCATCTGAGTCTTTAACCCTCTTAATCTGTTCCCTTTAAAAGAAGGAATGAAAACAAATAAACATTTAGAATAATATATATATATAAAAAAATTTAAACAAGCAATACATTTCTTTAATTTAACCTGTACTGATGAATGTCCTCAAAAGACTTGGTATTGTTGATGGCAAAGACACAGAGAAAACCCTCTCCAGTCCTCATGTATTGGTCTCTCATTGCACTGTACTCTTCCTGACCTGCAGTATCCAGGATATCCAACAGACACGTCTCTCCATCAATCACCACCTGTTTCCTATACGAGTCCTGTGAGAAAGAGCAATGCATCAATATCCAATGTAAGATGTTCAATGTTTCTAAATTCTCCTACTGCTCAATTGATATCGAAATATACAATGAAATATATTCTGTTACTGAAAAGAAAGTGAAAACTGTGGCCTGTTTGACCAAAGTGGCGAGAATGCTTTACCCTCAGATGACATTTTGATGTTTCATATATATATATTATATTTTAAATTAGGTAACACTATTCTGAACTGAGGATATATAAATAAATAAAAAACAAAGGCAAATGACTGAAAATACCAGCTTGACTTTACCTCAATGGTTGGGTCGTATTCATCAACGAAGTGGTTCTGAATGAGCTGGATGGTCAGAGCGCTCTTGCCCACGCCACCTGCACCAACCACCACTAACTTATATTCCGTCATTCTCACTGCTGCTGTGTCAGAAGCTGAGGGGAAACAAGGAACAAGGAAATTTGAGAAAACAAAGAATTTGGGAAATTCTGGATGAATCATTACTTGAAAGTCTTTTTATGAGCTGACGAGGAAATAAAACTCAAAGTGAAAACGGTAAAAAGGGGAAGCCAGTCAAAATCTATATAAAGTATACCAGTTTCCTGGAGTGAGGCGCTCATCCTGCCGACAGTATCTAATACAGATGATATTACGCTTGTGTCGTGTGACATAACACTAGACAAAAAGAAAAGCTATTTTAGGTTGCCAGGGGAAACTTTTACAGGACTTTTCCTGACAGTGATCTATTTGTTATTAGTTCAAATGCTTGGTGCAGTGCCAGAAGAATTTCACTCACAACCTGTGTGATTCCATTCCTTCCAAACTTATTCTGACAACCTACTTAAAATATGGATTCTATAACATATAACAGGTGACCATCTATGGTCTGCTTGAATTTATTTTCTTTTTTTTATATACATAGGCTATATATCTCCTTGCATATGGAGCAAATAACATACCTATATTATTTAATTAACAAAAATACAAAAAGGTTATTAAACAACTCTGTTTTTTGCTAAGAAGATCAAAAATAAATTATGGGTCATCCGAATCGTTGTGTGCTATTAAATATATATATATATATATATATATCAGCACTCTAATAAGGCACAAAGTTTTTCCACCTTCCCGATCCAAGCATGTTATGTAACATTTTGTTTGGTCAAAATGTTTCTAACCTGTCTTGTCTTGGCTGAGGTTTCGATGTAGGGAATACCGTAGCTGCGGGCGAGTTCCTGGGCTTGTCTTGTGTCCACAGTTCGTGCTGGTAAGTCACATTTATTACCCACAAGCACCATGGGCACATCATCTGAGTCTTTAACCCTCTTAATCTGTTCCCTTTAAAAAAAGGAATGAAAACAAATAAACATTTAGAATAATATATATATAAAAAAAAATTAAAACAAGCAATACATTTCTTTAATTTAACCTGTACTGATGAATGTCCTCAAAAGACTTGGTATTGTTGATGGCAAAGACACAGAGAAAACCCTCTCCAGTCCTCATGTATTGGTCTCTCATTGCACTGTACTCTTCCTGACCTGCAGTATCCAGGATATCCAACAGACACGTCTCTCCATCAATCACCACCTGTTTCCTATACGAGTCCTGTGAGAAAGAGCAATGCATCAATATCCAATGTAAGATGTTCAATGTTTCTAAATTCTCCTACTGCTCAATTGATATCGAAATATACAATGAAATATATTCTGTTACTGAAAAGAAAGTGAAAACTGTGGCCTGTTTGACCAAAGTGGCGAGAATGCTTTACCCTCAGATGACATTTTGATGTTTCATATATATATATTATATTTTACATTAGGTAACACTATTCTGAACTGAGGATATATAAATAAATAAAAAACAAAGGCAAATGACTGAAAATACCAGCTTGACTTTACCTCAATGGTTGGGTCGTATTCATCAACGAAGTGGTTCTGAATGAGCTGGATGGTCAGAGCGCTCTTGCCCACGCCACCTGCACCAACCACCACTAACTTATATTCCGTCATTCTCACTGCTGCTGTGTCAGAAGCTGAGGGGAAACAAGGAACAAGGAAATTTGAGAAAACAAAGAATTTGGGAAATTCTGGATGAATCATTACTTGAAAGTCTTTTTATGAGCTGACGAGGAAATAAAACTCAAAGTGAAAACGGTAAAAAGGGGAAGCCAGTCAAAATCTATATAAAGTATACCAGTTTCCTGGAGTGAGGCGCTCATCCTGCCGACAGTATCTAATACAGATGATATTACGCTTGTGTCGTGTGACATAACACTAGACAAAAAGAAAAGCTATTTTAGGTTGCCAGGGGAAACTTTTACAGGACTTTTCCTGACAGTGATCTATTTGTTATTAGTTCAAATGCTTGGTGCAGTGCCAGAAGAATTTCACTCACAACCTGTGTGATTTCATTCCTTCCAAACTTATTCTGACAACCTACTTAAAATATGGATTCTATAACATATAACAGGTGACCATCTATGGTCTGCTTGAATTTATTTTCTTTTTTTTATATACATAGGCTATATATCTCCTTGCATATGGAGCAAATAACATACCTATATTATTTAATTAACAAAAATACAAAAAGGTTATTAAACAACTCTGTTTTTTGCTAAGAAGATCAAAAATAAATTATGGGTCATCCGAATCGTTGTGTGCTATTAAATATATATATATATATATATATATCAGCACTCTAATAAGGCACAAAGTTTTTCCACCTTCCCGATCCAAGCGTTTGTGTTTGTGTCCAGAAACAGACTTGCAGTCTTGTCAGAAAGCACTTTCTAAGACTCCTACCTGCAGAAAAGCTGACACCCACTTCAGCCCTCCACACAAGCTTTTTATGACATCACCTGCCAGCATATATATATATATATCAGTCAAGCTGGTTCAGCTATGCTCAGTGGACACTCCATCAAGTATTCCATTTGAAAATCTATTTTTAGCTCTTCCACCTGCCATGTAGCCTTACCTGTGAAAATCATTTTCTTTTTTCTTGCTGGAAGTTTGTACAACTTTTATATTACTTTTAGGTTCTGGATCATGGTAAAGCATCTGGTCAGACTTTGAATTCCAATTTTTTTGCCCATGATATTAGTTATCATACTGTACCAGGGGTGTCACCCTTTAAAGACTTTCACAACACACACACCCATACTTATATATACATACATATACATACATACATACATACATTCACACACACACACACATACATACATACGGATATTTACATACGTATGGCTGTGTGTGTGTGTGCAATATACAGAAAAAATATATATTTATTTTTCCCATTATTGCTGGAATACAATGACATCCCCTTTATTGATTTCTCAGACGATGGGCAATGTAAACAACGTGGTCATTTGGGTGAGCTGATCTCTGCAAGCCTTACAATATATATAATGGCAACCAATCTATGTGATAATAAGTTTCAATAACGTCCCTAAATAAAACCCATCAGAGTACAAAAACTAGTCTTAGCCAAACGTCTCTGGCTCAGTTGGTTTAAATGAACTCGCTCCTCCTGCATCGACCATTATTTCCATGCAGAACAGCGCTGTGTGTATAGGAGTATTTGATAGTTGCACAGCTCGCTACAATGTAACAAACTAGAGATGAATGGAATTCAGGCGCGCTCACTGATTTGACGCATTTGTTTCGTTTTTCATGTTCACTAGGAGTAGTTCTCCAGTTTCGAGATGCTGATGAAATGATTTATGTCCTGACGCCAACCAAATGTTCCGTCCAGCGTCTGCAAGGAACATTTTGTGGCTGCTGTTATTCCTGCGCGACACACAGCATACAAAGACAGCGGCTGGACTACTTACAAAACACACGGCGCGGGTCGCTCGTCTCGACGACACTCAACACAAGTCAATAATATGTCGACATCCTTCCCGCTGCTCCCCTCAAAGCTCTGCTGCTCTCCACTGGTTTCGTCATTAGACAGCGCGTCTTCTTCTTCTCCCGAGGTACAGATTCACTGAAGCAGATGCGATCAACACAAACATTGAACAACGGGCTGCCGGTGTGCGTCGAAGAAGAAGAGTGCGCTTAGAGCCACAGCACACGCCCAAACCCTGTGTGTCTCAATACACACTACCACCACACACACTCACTCTCTCAGCCTTACAATACAGGTGGGCTGTCTTATGTTGCAAAGCACAAAAACAACCTCTGCTTCTTTCTTTCTTTTTCTCCCTTTCTTTCTTTCTTTGTTACAGAACAATGCCCAAGTTGTTTTCTTTCTTTCATTCTTTCTTTCTTTCTTTCTTTCTTTCTTTCTTTCTTTCTTTCTTTCTTTCTTTCTTTCTTTCTTTCTTTCTTTCTTTTTTTCTTTTTTTCTTTCTTTCTTTCTTTCTTTCTTTCTTTCTTTCTTTCTTTCTTTCTTTCTTTTTTGTTACAGAACAATGCCCAAGTTGTTTTTCAGTCTGTCTCTTTTTTTTCTTTACAAGAAGTTTAAAAACACTGGCAATTAGAAGGAAATTTCATATTATAAAACACATTCAACGAGTCAAAAAAAAAGAAAGAATAAATACTGTATATTTTTGTATACATATTTTGTATAAATACTGTATATGCTGCTTTGATTTTTTTTCTCCCCCCCCCCCCCATATTACACAACAATGATTATATATGTATAAAAAAAAACAAGACTGAAACACTGAAAATTTTTTTTAAGGTGATAAAAACATGAAAACACTCAATGACTGAGCTTTTAAAAACATTAATTGTATGTTTTCGATTCAGTTCTTTCTTTCTTAAAAAATGAAAAAATTACTGACAATTACAATGAATTTTCAGATGATAAAGCTCTTTTTTCCAAATATTTTATTATTATTATTACTACTACTACTGCTACTACTACTACTACAGAAAAATGTCCATATTTCCAAGTTTGGTTTTCTTTTTTTTTTTAAGTTTCTTATGTAGATTAATTGCACACACACACACACACACACACACACACACACAACACACACACACACACACACACACACACAGGTTTGTTTTTGTGAAAAGTGGGGACTCTCCATAGGCGTAATGGGTTTTCTACTCTACAGACCGTATATTCTATTGCCCTACACCAACCCTACCCCTAAACCTACCCTTTACAGGAGACTTTGTGCTATTTCAGATTTTCAATACACTCCATTCTGTGTGATTTATAAGCGTTTTGAAAAGTGGGGACATGGGGTAATGTCCTGAAAAGTCACCTTCTTCTTTTTTTATGTCCTCATTTGTCTCAAAACGTGCGCGCGCGCACACACACACACACACACACACACACACACACACACACACACACACACACACACATATAGAATATACAGAGTCTTAAAAGAAAAAATCCACAGTTGAGTGAGAATATTTGATAAGCATGTGATATAAATGTGTCACTACTGTATTTCTCAGGTATGGATGGTGAGTTCTTCTCTTTTTATACTTAATTAAAATAAATATGTATCATGGTTGACTCACTGAGTGATTTATTAGTTCAAAATACTCTTTAATTGAATTCTACAATTTTCCAAATAGAGGTCCACTGGGGTAATTCTCCGAATCGTCCACATGATGGCAATCTTTCATCTCCGTAGCCTTGAGACTCAGTCTTCCAGTCCCTATTTAACCTCAAAGATATTCCAGACATCTACTTTAGCTATGGGACTGCAGTCATCATAAAAACAGAGTCAAAAGAGAGTAAAGAAAAATCATATCGCCGTCATTTCCACGCCAATAGTCCTAGTGCTTCTCGTCTCCTCCTGCTGAAAAGCAGCCAGAGAGTCACATGGCCTTTTGTACGCGTTTCATTGGCTGATTTGCTTAAAAAAAGCATCCGTCGTCAAGACAACCAAGAGCCGCAGTCCCACTTCACTTGTCTGGTGAGGCCTTGACAAAGTCACACAGATCCTTTTTTTACCTTCTGCTTATTGTTTCACTCTCTCCTCTCTCCTGTGCATCTCAAGAGTCTATAAGAGGTAAGTCAATAAAGAGATAGTGTGCTGTATATTTGCTTGAAATGAAAGCTTCTTGTAGTAAAAGCTGCAGACAGGATCACACATGATGAGGGGGTCCTGAAAGAAAACGCATGACATTTTATACTTATTTTACATGTTGCATCAGGTAAGTTACTTTTTTTTTGTAGTTCATAAGCTAAACAAAGTATGCCATCAAAGAATATAAATGGAAGAGTTTACCTGAATAACCGTGGAGTTGCCAGTTCTTTATCTCTTGAGAGCTGTGGCTTGTTAAAAGCATTGTGCTTTGAGCTATTCGTCTGCTCATTTGTTTCATCCCGGCGTTCATCACTTTCAGACTTTATCCGTGCCATGTCTAACAAGTGCAAGATGTTCCATTGTAGATAACGGTGGCTGTAGCCTCAGGAGGGATGTGAGCCTGTTCCCCTCTCTGTCATGTAAATTAAGAGCAAACATGGAGTCACCAAGGTGGCCATGTTGATAGTGAAAGGCAAATGTATCTCTGCGGGCCTTCTCTATCGCCTGAGCAACAAGTTGGTATAATATCTTTAAATTATGAAAAGCAGAGAGTTTGCTTGTGTAGCATATGAAGAAAAAGACTTTGTATGTAAATGATTTCTGTAAGATATGTTGAGTTATATGTACAAATATGTCCCAAGAGCCCATGCAGGTCTGGAATATAATTTGTCGAAGCTTAAGTGAGTAATTACGTAAATGCTATTCAGTTATCCAGTGCTTTTGCCTGCTTTGTTTAGAGAGTTTCGGTTTACATTGAGGGTAGCTGGCCTTTCGTGTGAACTGTAGTATTTTAATGGGTCATGTAGCACTACAAGTGTTTGAAACATTTCTAGCATAAATGTAATTCTACTATTATCCATACGTGAATTAGAGATTTGGGGTTTTAACTTTTGTAGTAGCATCAGTTGCGTTACAGACATGAATGGAATTGTTTGACTTTTTGCGGAAAGCTGTTACTTTTCTAAATGATCAGACTTTTTGTAATGAATACTTTTATTCAGCAAGGATGCATTCAGTTAATCAGAAGTGACAGTAGAGACATTTATAAAGTTACAAAATATTTCTATTTCACATGTGAATGAATGAGTCAGGTATTTATAAAAAGATAGTATAAATGTATTAAGCAGCACAACTATTTTCAACATTGATAGTAATAAGAAATGTAATAATATGTAATAATGAATTGTAAAACTATTTCACTGTACTGTTTTTGCTGTATTTTTGAGCAAATAAATGGAGCAAATTAAAACAATAAATAAAAAAATCCTACAGACCCTAAACATTTGAATGGTAGTGTTAAGTTTTTCGCTTAGCCAAAAATAAAAGCAAACAATCCCATAGATTGTCCTGAGACATTTAGGGATGGGCTCTTTTGACTTGGGCCAGTAAGCAATTGCTTAGCAACCAGCCAAAACACCTTATCAGCCTCATAGCAGCGTGTTACAAAACACCCAGAAGACCTTAGCAACCACATAGCAAGACTCGGGAAATCACACACAACACCCTAAAATCATAGCATCGATCTTTGCATGGGAAAGCACCACCAATGTTTTGTTTTCCAGAAAATGTAAACATCTATTTTTTTTTTTTATTCTGACATCTGAACTGTTGCAGTTAGCAGATTAATGATCCCCAGTTTTACAGTAAAAACATGGGAGAATATTGAGTTTAAGATACAACCCAGAACACTCTAGCACGTTAGCAACCACTCATATGACATTGCAACACCTTGGTATAACTGCCCACAACACCTTACAGTCAGACCATTCACATTTTTTACAGGCATGTATTATATCTGGAAAGTTATTAGGAGGAAGTTATTGAGTTTATTGAGGAAGGCAAAGCATTTGATCTACGTACATATAGGAACACAATGAGCACCCCTGTTGAAAAAAACAGCATATGCTGGTTAGGTACCAGTTTAAACCAGCAAAGGACCAGCTTAAACCAGCATCCCAGCGTCAAAACATACCTAACCAGCATATGCTGGTCCTTTGCTGGTTTATGCTGGTCCTTTGCTGGTTTAAACTGGTCCTTTGCTGGTTTATGCTGGTGCTTTGCTGGTATATGCTGGTCCTTTTGTTTAAGCCAGTTTAAACCAGCAAAGGACCAGCTTAAACCAGCATCCCAGCGTCAAAACATACCTAACCAGCATATGCTGGTCCTTTGCTGGTTTATGCTGGTGCTTTGCTGGTATATGCTGGTCCTTTTGTTTAAGCCAGTTTAAACCAGCAAAGGACCAGCTTAAGTTTATGCTGGTCCTTTGCTGGTTTAAACTGGTCCTTTGCTGGTTTATGCTGGTGCTTTGCTGGTATATGCTGGTCCTTTTGTTTAAGCCAGTTTAAACCAGCAAAGGACCAGCTTAAACCAGCAAAGGACCAGCATAAACCAGCAAAGGACCAGCTTAAACCAGCAAAGGACCAGCATAAACCAGCAAAGGATCAGCTTAAACCAGCATCCCAGCATCAAAACATACCTAACCAGCATATGCTGGTTTTTTCAACAGGGACACTATGACACATGCATGTAAATACAATGACAGGCCATTGAACTTAAAAAGAAATAAGAATAAAGTACTATGTCCTAACTAAGCCAGTTTTACAAACTGCTCTAAGATCTTTGACAAAATAATGACAGAGAACGAGAGCTTGGACAGAGAGAGAGAGAGATAATGAGAGCACTATGGCTGGTATTACCTGTGGATGGGAGGAGCATGGGAAGGCTGTGGTTTGTGTCAGCATTGTGGAGAGCGGAAAGAGAGAGTCACTTTCAAGAGACGAAACGAGCAGTGCGCCATTAGTCCTGCTCCTGTAGATACAGGAAAAGCAACACCTGTTGGACACCGACATCTGTGTTACAGGTTAACTCTTTGATTTTACATTAGACACGTTTGGGGACGGTAATTTTTTAAATATATTCAACATGATAACCAGGAAGGAGGACACACAGAAGCAAGTATTCAACTCTAAGGTAAATATAGCTTTCTGTCTAGCCAGCAGGTTTGTGTAGTTAAGCTACAGACTTGACAATAAAATGTGCCAAATTTTACACATTTGTTTCCATTTTGTCTGG